TTTCCATCTGTTCTTAAAACTTAGTTTCATTCCATGGTGGCCAAAAAACATGCTTGTATGATTTTAATCTTTCCAAATTTCTTAACACTGGTTTTGTATACTATCATCTATACAGGATGATCAATGTTCAATGGAGATTATTGTGTAATATATTCTTCCTTGGTGGAGCGATCTGTTTATGTTTGTTATATGAAATTGGTCTGTAATGTTGCTTCAGGGTGCTTCTTACTGAAGTTGAATGTGGTACTTCTAGCCAGTTAAACTGGAGTGTTGACTTCTGCTACTCTTATGATGCTGTTTATTTCTTGCTTCAATTCTGTCATTTGTACTTCACCTCTATGGGATCTTGATGTTAGGTGCCCACATAATTATAATTGTTATAGAGTCTTGTAATTTTAAGTCTTTATATTATGTCCTTTTTCTGTCATGACATTTAAAAAATTTTTTTAAATACTTTTTAAAATATTTTTTTATTTATTTTGAGAGAAAAGGAGAGAGGAAGAGAGCGGGAGAGGGGCAGAGAGCGGAAGAGAGACAGAATCCTGAGCAGGTTCTACACTGTCAGTGTGGAACCCTAGGCAGGGCTCAAACCCACGAACCATGAGATCATGACCTGAACAGAAACCAAGAGATGGACACTTACCCAACTGTGCCACACAGGAGCCTCTGTCATGAAAATTTTTAACCTTTAATGTGTATTTGTTTGGCATTAGTCATTTGCTATTGGTATAGACACACCAATGCTGTCTTTTGGCTCCCATTTGCACGCAATGTCTTTTTACATACTTTTACTTGAATCCTGTGTGCGATCTTAGATCTATGGTGAATCTCTTATAGACAAGAGATTGTAGGAGTTTGTTGTTACTCAGTCAGCCAATCTATATCTTTTCATTGGGAGACTTTCATGTATTTACAATCAAAGTATTACTGAAAGGGAACCACTACTGTTGCCATTTTTAAAATAGTTTTCTGTACTTGTGGCTATTTTATGACACTTTTCTTCTCTTCCTGTATCCCATTTTGTTTCTTTGATGTATGTAATAATATGCTTTCATGACATTCTCATCTGCTTTCTGTATTCTATAGGAACTTTCTTTGTGGTTACCATGAGAAGGACTTGAAATCTCTCAGACATATCATGTTCACCACTGCACCTACTTTGTCTTACCAATATCCTAAATTCTGCTTTTTATGTTGTATACTCTATGACATGGGTTTGTGATTTTTAAGCTTTTATTATTTGTTTAAAATACTCTGTCAGAAATAAAACTGATTTTTGGTTCCTCATTACAAACTCCAGGTTTCTATATTTGTTTAAATATATTGAGCAGAGTTTTTTATATGTTCATTACACTTCAGTTACTTTTAGAATCGTATTTTAACAAAACTCTCCCTTTAATGTTTCTTATAGAGCCAGTTTACTGCTAAACTTCTAGTGGTTTTTCCTGAGAAAGTCTTCCTTTCTCCATTTCTTTCTTTTTTTTTTTTAACGTTTATTTATTTTTGAGAGAGAGAGAGAGACAGAGCATGAGTGGGGGAGGGGCAGACAGAGAGGGGGACACAGAATCTGAAGCAGGCTCCAGGCTCTGAGCTGTCAGCACAGAGTCTGACAATGGAGCTCGAACTTGGGAACCTTGATATAATGGCCTGAGCTGTAGCTGGACACTTACCTGACTGAGCCACCAAGGCACCCCTTGGTTGATATTTTTTGATATTTCAGTACTTGAATATATTATCCTATGCACTGCTTCCTACAAGGTATGTGGGGAAACTGCTAGTATCTTACGCTGGATCTGTTGGACAAGATGAGTTGCTTTCCTCATAGTGTTTCAAAGTTTTCTGTTCACCTCTGATTTATGATAAGTTAATTATAGTGTGTCACTATAATTTAAGATATAAATTTAAGACTTGGCATTTATCCTGCATAAAAATTCACTGAGCTTCTGGGTTGTTTCTTTCCACAAATATTGGAATTATGAGCCATTAGTTTTTCATGTAAGCTCTCTGTTCCCTTTCACTCTCCTCTCATATGGGGTCCTCTTAATATGTATATTGGTTCACTTGCTAGTGTTCCAAAAGTTCATTGGACTCTGTCCTTTGTTAATTTTTGTGTGTTTGTTTTTGCTTTGGTCCTTCAGTGGACAATTTAAAACAAGTGACCTTTAAGTTTTCTGATTTTTTTTTTCTGATTAAGACTTTTGTTAACCCTTTACTATTTAAAAAAATAATGTTTATTTATTTTTGAGACAGAGAGACACAGAGCATGAACGGGGGAGGGGCAGAGAGAGAGGGAGACACACAATCTGAAACAGGCTCCAGGCTCTGAGCTGTCAGCAGAGGGCTCCACGTGGGACTCAAACTCACGGACCATGAGGTCATGACCTGAGTAGAGGTCAGCCGCTTAACTGACTGAGCCACCCAGGTGCCCCTACTATTTTTTTTAATACATAATTTTTTAAAGTAATCTCTATACCCAACATGGGGCTCAAACCCAGAGCCCTGAGATCAAACGTTGCATGCTGTACCAACTGAACCAGTTGTGCACCCCCTTTTTACTGGTCTTTAAAATGTATTTACTGGACTCTTTAGCTCCTAATTTTTGTTTCATTGTTTTGCATACTTTCTGTTAGTTTGAATTTTATTTTGGCCATACATAGTTTTTCTGATATCATTTAGTTCCCCATTTGTTCTCTCTTCATTCTCCATATGCATGGTTATGATGATTAATTTGAGTTCTTTGTCAGGTAATGCATAGTTATGTATAAATTTATGGTAAAGTTTGGAGCTTTACTTCATTCCTTCAATTGGAACACATTTTTCTGTTGCTTGCTATGCCTTATGATCTTTCACTGAGATTTGGGAATTTAAAACCCAGCCTCTGGTCCCAGGCTTTATGAACTTGCCTTGTAAAGGAGAACACAAATAAAAGCTTTGCTAGTAAATCCTGGGTCCTATGAAACATATTCTGAGGATGTATAAAGTCTGAGCTTTTGTAATTTCCCAGTTAAGAAAGTGTGTGTTGGGTCTTATTTAGAGCACATGATTCACCTCTCTCTCCTGTTGTCTGGTGTTTGAAGAAATACTCAGCTTTTTTTCTGAGCAGCCAGCATAATGCTTTCATAATATGCTTCCATTCCTTGAGCCCTCAGTGTCCTGTATGACAGGATCCAGTCCCCTCAGGTAGCTACAAAAGAGCCAGATCTTTACACAGGTCACTCGTGTCTTATTTCTTGCACAGAGTTGAGCATTTTCTCATAATCTTGCCATGGAGTACTAGGTAGAGTGAAGAGCTATTGGGGGAAAGTGTCACTAACTTTTCTTTCCTCTTTGATGTGAGTCTTTTTCAGTTTGTCCTTGCCTGGAAGTGCTTTGTTCTCCCAACCAGATTCTGGGGCACTTGAAAAGGCAGTTTGGTCAGTCTGTTTCTCCTTGGAGGAGCAAAGTCTCTGTGCCTCCTATTTCTCAAGTCTGCTGATGTCTGGTGATGGGTATTAAGTTTTTGCATTAGCACCTTACCATATATTGATGCAAGTGCAGTTGTGGGATCATTTATTTGGTATCTTTCAGTTATGCCTTGGGCTTGTTGACAAAGACAGGCAAAGGAGATTCTTTCCATGAGGTGCTATGGGGAAGATCTGTGACTTTGGAGAATTCACAGTTAGTGAAAGATTGGGAAGGTGAAGGGGAGAAGGAAGAGCAGAAGGAGTATTATGATGGATAGAACCAAACTGGGCATTTACCCACAATGAAATCCTTACTGCCTAAAGAGATTGATGAGGGGCACCTGGTGGGATCAGTCAGTTAAGTATCACTCTTGGTTGTGACTCAGGTCATGATCTCATGGTTTATGATTCGAACCCTGTGTTAAGCTGTGCACTGAAAGTGTGGAGCCTCCTTGGAATTCTCTCTCTCCCTCTCTTTATGCCTTCCCTTCCTAAATACATACATACATACATACGTACGTACGTACATACACACACAAACACACACACACATTAAAAAAAATTTGAAGATCTAAAACATTTGGGGGAATTTCACTTTAAGACCGCCATCTTTGTGGAACAATGTCTTTATGAATACAAAGACCCAAGTCCATTTCCTAAACATGTATATGCTCTGACAGGAAATTTGAAAAATCTAGAAAGTCACCAAGTGCATGCCAAAAGTAACCATTGCAACCATTTCAAATATAGGATTGGATCAATTATTCCGACATTTCTGATTTCTCGAAAATTAAAAGTGAAGATAAAATTTCTAAATATGATCAGTTTGAGGTATTCTTTTTGAGGGTTTTTTATTGTTTCACCAATAAATAATACCTCTTTGTTCCAAAGTCTCTAATTTTGATAATTATGAGAAGGTCTTTATCCAAGCATTGCTGTTCAATAAGATCACATAATACTGAATTTGGAACAACTTTTCACATGTTGTGAATTAGGGAAGATCTTTAGTGAGGACTCTGTCTTCAGTAACTACCAAGGTGTTTACCATGGAGACAACTTAATGAAATGAATCTGGGAAAAAGGTTAACTGTGCATCAAATCCTAATAAACAGCAGAGCATTCAGTTTCTAGAGAATGAGTATAAAATAAATAAATCTGGGGAAGTCTTCCATCAAAGCTCAAACTTTATTAAATGTCATTGTTTCCTGACTGGAGAGAACACTTAGAAATGTAGTAAACGTGGCAAAGTTTTTAAGCAGCCTTCACAACTTGCTCAAGAGTTTTCAACCTGAGGGGCACCTGGGTGGCTCAGTCAGTTGAGAGTCTGTCTTCTGCTCAGGTCATGATCTCGCAGTCTGTGAGTTGGAGCCCCACTTCAGGCTCTGTGCTGACAGCTCAGAGCCTGGGGCCTGCTTCAGATTCTGTGTCTCTCTCTGCCCCTCCCCCACTCACACTCTGTCTCTCACTCCTTCAAAAATAAATAAACATTAAAAAAAAAGTTTCCAACCTGAGAAAAAACCTTACATATGTAAAGAATGTGGGAAAGCCCTTCACCAGTACTTACATTTTTTTCACATCGTAGAGTTTATACTGGAGAAAAACCTTACAAATGTAAAGAATGTGGCAAAGTCTATACCTGGAGTTGATGCCTTCATGGGTATCAGATAATTCATATTGGGAAGAAACCTTGGGAACGTAAAGAATTTGCTGAAGCCTTTAACTATTGCTCAGACTTTCCTTCACATCAGAGTGTATATCCTTGGGTTTAAACCCAACAAGTACAGAGACTATGACAAAGCCTTTAAGCCCAGGGTGGGCTCTGTTTCTTGAACTGTGAAATCATGAAGTGAGCTGAAATCGAGAGTCGGGGGCTTAATAGACTGGGCAGTCCAGGGGACCCTATAAAGTTATAATTTTAATGTGAATTTTTTTTATGTAATAAATTAATATTGCAGAAGTGTGGCAGAGAGAACACAGTTCTCATATACTCCTCATCCTGTTCCCTGTTCTTGACATCAGACATTGCTCTGGTACTTTTGACAAAACATACAACCAACAAGGCACCTTAATATTATAGAATTACTGAATTATTATTTCACTAATTTCAATTATTTTTTTTCCTCCACAAGGATGTTATCCAAAATAGCAATTTATAGTCATTATCTCCCTGCAATATCCTTTGTTCTGTATCAGTTTTTCAGTCTTTCCCAAGTTTCTATACAATTCAGGTTTGAGAAACCCTGGTTTGGTGAGGTTTTTTGTTCGTTTTGTTTTATTTTGTTTTTTGTTTTTTTAATCTGTAATATGGAATTTGATGTTTTTGTCAGGATCAAAATGTGTTTATAGGTACCGTGACAAACTCTGAGGAGGCTTGGAGATGCAAACTGATAGAGAAAGTGATGGTTTATATTTAATATGGTTATTAGAAAAACAGAGATGAAGTGCCATGGCCTCTATAATTGAGAGACTTCCAGTCTCACAGAGCAAATGTTTAAATGGTTGAATTTAAGGTTTTGGGGTAACTGCAAGGAAGGGATGATTTATGGGGGATTATGATTTCATTTCTCTGTGGTTTTGTGAGTACAAAGGTGGCCCCTGAAGGCCATCCACAAAGAAACTAGTTGTTAGTAGTAGTAATACTTGTATTTGTTTACCTTGTAAAGAATAAAATGTAGTTGACCCTTAAACGATGTAGTGGTTAGGGGCACCAACACCGCTATGCAGGTGAAAAATCCCTGTATCACTTATGACACTTTGAAAACATAATTCTTAACCGACAACTGTTGACTGGAAACCTTACGGATAACATAGTCAATTACACATTTCGTATTTTATACACACACACACAAACACACACACACACGTGGTCTTGCAATAAAAGTAAGGTAGAGAAATATTAATGAAATCATAAGGAAATACATTTACAGTATTCTGTGTTTATGCAAACAAAAACTGTATGCAGAAAGAGCCATGCACTTCAAACCTGTGTTTCAAGGGCCAACTATAGTATTGTCCCAGAAACCTCTAAGTGTTTGTTAAATCACTTATCATTTTATGTCATAAAATAGGGGATTGACTTAAGTAGAGTAGAATTGTACAAAGTTTTTGTTAGACAAATTTAGAGAGACAAAACTGACAATATCCCACAGGCAGGGAGATTAGTAGCCTAGAGCCCTCTGCCTCCACAGCTCATCCAGAACCCTCTGTTGTTAAGCTTTTCCAGGTCTGGCCCTACCCTGGGCTCTCCCCTCACTAACAGATTAGAGGAGGTCAGAGGTTTGGCTCACTGCTCCTCCCATGCCTCAATGGAAGGCGCTAATATTTTGCTGAAACCCCAAGTCAGATACATTGAAGGAAATGCTGTATGTTTTGGTGCCTTAATCTCATAATTTCTCATTACATAATATGCTTTGAAAGGGGTTGGGACAGGCCCCACCAGAATGTACCACTTTGGCATATTAGGATTATTTGGAGCTGGAGGCAGTCAAGACCCTCCAGAGAAACTTTGGTACCTTCCTTAACTACATGCAGGATTCCAAATTGTGTGCCCTTTCCAAAACAAGGATTATTACCCAGGATAAATTTTATCTGAGTGATCCATGTGTATGGCAGAGCAAACATCTAATTACCTATGTCACATGGCAAGAATTTATGTCCCCTCCAAGGGTCTAATTGAAGACAGATTAACAGGAGAAATCAAGTGTAATGGCATGTGTACAAGGAATCCACCTAGACATGGACATTTTAAGACAGGCAAAATGAGGTATACAGGTATTCTGAACTGAGGAGAAGGGGGTAGGTGCCTGGGATTTCAAGGAAAGGAATGTACTTCACAGGGTGATAGGAAGAGTAGAAGTTTAGTGATGAGACATTTGCCCTACCATAGAGATGAGTCACTCAGAGAAAATGTATTCGTTAATAACCTTTATTCTGGAAAGGACCTTCAATTTAGATTCTTCTGTATGGTGAAGGGAAGAGCAAACCTTTCCCCTGAGACCATGGGGACTTTCAAGTACTTTCAGCTCAGAATAATCCACATGCCAAAGTGGAACATTCTGGGTGGGGTGGGAGTGACTGTCCTGAACCTCTTCACCAAACACCTGCTCCTCTCCTATTCAGCCTGTCAATGCATTTCTTTATTTTGAAATCTCAGACTCCTACTCCCTTCTCCTTAGTTCAGGATGAGAGCTATACCTCATTTTGCTTGCCTGACTTTGGAGTGTCCATGTGTGTGTGGACTCTCCAAATTTATGCCATGGTAGCTTCAAGAGCCAACCCACTGAGCCCCCTGTTTTCCATTTCTGAACATCTAATGGTCACTCAAGTTTTAAAAAATAAATATACATAGACGTTGTGAAATGGAAAGAGGACCCAGCAGTGCCTTCAACTGTCTCCACTTTGGCCTTCATCTATATTTCCTGATTCACTCCTTTCCAGCTCATCTTTTAGCTCCTGTAGAAGCCCCAGCAGGCAAAGCATCCCAGGATGGGAAAGGAAACATCCCCCCCCCCCCCCCCCCCAGCAATAGGGACTGCCCTGAAAGACTGCCACATCCCTGACAACAATGCAGTGATCAGCCTGACCTTCACCATCTGCATGTACCACCACCCTTTGTCCTACATTTTCTTTATATGAACCTGGAAGAATGTTCAGCAGTTTGGAGACCATGTTTGAGGCATTAGTCCACTGCCTTCTCAGTATTGGCCTTGCTGACAAAAATCCTATTCTGGTTTTGCCACCACTCATCTCTCTTCCGCTACCTGGTGTGCAGGAAGGGGTGCAAGAGCGCCTGTCTCTGGGGTCCCAAACAGATCAAGTTCAGCCACTTGACATCCATAAAATCCAAAGGCAGAGAGATGAGAAGTGGTGAGATAAGAAAGGAAGTTATTTCAGAGAGGTCAACACTGGGAAGATGGCTGACTAATGTCTCACAGATTGTCTCCAATGTGCTGGAGACACAGGTTTATATAAGGGAAATGGGAGCAAAAGTGAGTGGGTACCTGCAGGTAGACAGTGCAGATTAAATCTGTAATTGTCTAGGATTCGATCAGGGGTGGGGTCTTTCTGGTTCAGGGCAGTCCTTGTGGCTGGAGGGGGTAGTTCCTGTTCCCCTCAGGTTTGCTTTCTCCTCAGGGTCTCCCTCCTGAGCCAAGACACAAGCTGGAAGGAACCCAGTGTGAAAACAGAATTTTCTCTAGTATTATTCTGCTGTAGCAAAGGGAGATGTCTTCCATTTCTGAGCCTGCTATACCAAATATAAATTAGATGAGGGACCTCTTTCGAGAAAAGAGCTAATACCAGAGAGGAACTTTTTATAAAGAGCTACTGGCCTGGCCTGGCAAATATTTGTTTGGCAAAATTTACTCTTTACTTTTTCTTGTGAATGTACTTGACCCTTTTTGAAATTCTGAATCCCTACCCCCTTCTCCTTAAGTCACAATGGCACATAAACATCAATCCCCTGTCTTTGAGCCTCAAATAATTGATGTTCCTATAATTAAGAATACTTTTTCTCTTGTGCAACTGTCTTGTCAGTTGAATTATTAAACTAGCCAAAGAGTAGAAAACAAATAAAGAAAAAAATATGTTCCTCTCTTACACATTCATTCCGTTGAAAACTGACCTTGGTGCTTCAGAGTCAAAATAAAACATGAAGACAGAGTTTGGGATAAAGAGAAAGAGTAGCTTTCTTGCTTTGGGGGGCTTAGAAGGCTGAGGCAGTTTAGCGCCTTCAGAACTGCAAGCCCACCTCCAGGAAGGGGCCAGTGGGGTGTAGGGAAATAAAGGATCCATCCGGTTTTGACAGGAATTGTGTATGCCTTACCAGCCTTGTTCATCATGTTTTCGGTGTGGTCCTCGATTTCTCATTTTAAAAAAAAAAAAAGGCTAAGAGGGGCACCTGGGTGGCTCAGTTAAGTATCCCACTTTGGTTTAGGTCATGATCTCACAGTGAGTTCGAGCCCTACATCAGTCTCTCTGCTGTCTGTTTTGGAGCCATGTCTCCCTCTCTGCTCTTTCCCAGCTCACTCTCTCTCTCTTTCTCTCTCTCTCTCTCTCACTCACACAAATAAATAAACATTAAAAAACATTTTTTTTAAAGGCTAAGAAGACATAAGGGGGGTGGGGGGGTTCCAAAAGGGAAAACGAAGTTATACGTTTAATAACAAGCCTCGCTGATGGTTTAATGCTGCCATTTTGATTTTTGTTCGACTTTGTACTTACAAAGGAAACTTATAAAAGTATAGTTTCCTTTGTAAGAGACATTTGCATGTATAAGGGAAAGCCGGAAAGTGCCATTTAGAAGGGTCTCTCCCTCTGTGAAGCAGAAAGAGGGAGAATGTATAAATCCCCAGAAACTGATCAGTGGAGAGGGAAAGGATTTAAATCTGGATAACAACCACAGACTTGGTGACCGTTTTTTGCGTGGTCACTTCCCCAAATGCTTCCCAATAGGATCACGTGTGGAGTTTCAAGAAGGATCATTGCTGCTGCCCTCCCCCTCCCCCGCCCCCCCCCAATATACCCACAACTAAGTGGGTGGAAACCACAGTGTTGTTCTATTGAAGTGCTCCAGGGGATTCTGTTGCAGGATTTTTTCCCTCACTACCCGGGATTCCTGGTCTTCCCGCTTCAAAGAATGAAGAGGTGGACACAAAATGAGCAACAGGCAAAAATTTATTAGAGTATAAGAAAGTCAGTGTAGTAGAAAATCTCTGTTTAGAGAGAGGGGACATTTGATTGGTGTGTTTCCATTGTATGAGGGGTGGTCTATGGCCATAGTGTTTCTTGGGGGTTTTAAGTCTTGGGTCTATTACTTATTTTTAGTTAGGTCTTTTAGTCAAACTCTTGAGGGAAACCTGGGGGTGAGTAGGTAGTGTTTGTTACAGTCTTAAAAGGAACCTTATGCCTGAGGGGGTTTGCTGTGTTTGGACACTCCCAGCCTTGTTCTAAAATGTGTTTTTCCCCACCCAGGGACCTCATGTCCTAATCTTTCCCTTTCTGCTTCCAGAATCCTATCTTTTCCTATCATAATTCTTAGGACCAGAGTTAAGCAGGAAGTCTTCCCATTAATTTATGAGAGTTGAGTGCAGGCTTTTGCTCAAGGGGAGGTAACAGGGTCTCCTCCATAGGAGTTGGGGAGGGTCAGGTCCATGTAGCACACTGTTCCTATGCTCAAGCAGAATTTGTGGGCATCTGCGGGAGGGGAGGCCCCCTGAAAGAAGGTAAGGGAACCTCAGAAATTTGTTCCCAAGTAGAAGCTCATAGTTTCTGAATAGCTCAGGACACAAAGGAGTGGAAGTTGGGCCTTTTTTTGCATTTCAAAGTGCTGCCTACAGGTGAGCAGTTTATAGGTGCAGAGGCTGTGTTGGTGGCTTTAAAGACATCTCATTCAGCTGCAATTTCTCCACAAAGATCTTCGGAGAAAGAAATTTAATGGAGGAGGTGAAAGAAGAAATGGCCTGTTCTCAGGTAAGCCTTGCTTCCCAGGCTAGAGGCCCAGTTGTCTTTTTCTCAGGAAATTCCATGCATGTAGAAATTGCAAAGCACCTTTGTGGCTCAGTTCAGAGAGCAT